AGGGTATCTAACCGTTGGGCATTGCCTGTCTGATGGAATATTTTGTATGTTCGTTTAACGTCTCATTCACAGTCATTTATTTAAACATTGATAGATGTAATCTTTTTTGATAGACCCTGCTCTACTTATTATTTTATTATAAGCCCAATCGCGCAGTCCGAATGACGCAGCGAATTTGTCGCTTGGTTTCCGTCAAGACGTATCGATTTTCTTGTGACCAAAACATTTGGTTCGAAACTCATCAAAAATGCACAAAGATACCCAAACAGTCTGATTAATAAAAGCCAAAGAGTAACTAAATATATATATGTGTATATATAGCTTCGATCAGCCTTGAAAACAATCTGGACATGACGTTGCCATTTCCAACAGCATGTCCAACTTGTATCTAACAATGATAATTGCGTTTGTTGCCTTTTTTTATACCCTGAACCCATTAAAAATGGGTATAAGGGTATATTGTATTTGTGCGAAATCCAAATGTATGTAACGTAAGGCAGAAGGAAGCATCTCCGACCCCATAAAGTATATATATTCTTGATCAGCATCAATAGCCGAGTCGATCTAGCCATGTACGTCTGTCCGTCCGTCCGTATGTATGAACTCAAGGATCTCAGAACCTATAAGAGCTAGAGAAATGTAGGTGCTCCTAGTTACCGCGCAGATCGAGTTTATTTCCGATAATCGATAACTTACTCCGTTTCCAAGCAATCGATAAAAATCGATATCGATATTCTGTTTTTTTTGAGCAATTTTGGTAAATAATAAGAGCTAGAGTCACCAAACTTGACATATAGCTTCTAAAATAGAATATATATATATGCATTTGATGTTGAAGGAAGAGGGTTCAGGGTATCCCCTAGTCGGGAGCTCCCGACTACAAACTCTTACTTGTTTTTGTTATCATCTTATCAGTAGTGAATGTTGTTTGAGGCACTTGAAAAATTTGCAAATCATGTTGTTAATCATCGGGTTTATTAAAAAATCAATTAAAATCATAAACGTTTGTTTGTTGATTTAATCAAAATTTACGTCTGGATTGCTCGAGCTCATATCTGGTAATAAACAACGTTGTAGCTCGAATACTCTGAAAGGTATTTTCCAAAAGATTAACACATGATTCTCGGACCAGACGATATTCCAGATTCCAAATAGGTTTTGTTTCAGCTTTGAATCGCGCCTAGCTTAAGTTTCGTTAGCATCGGTTCATTTAATCTATTTAGTAGATAAGAAACTGGCTCGGAACTAGTTCAATTTTTGTAGGAACTAGTAAAGTGAGTTATACTTACACGTTCTTCGATCGAATGTCAATTGTCCTGTTCATCGGATCTGAAACGGATTCATATTTCTGGGCGATCAGTTCTCGGCTAACAAGTTCTTTCTCTGTGCTCCGCAGCGGGAATCAGAATAGCCTTGAGGCTTTCTTAGTGCATTTTGCCAGCTCGAATAGAAGCTGGTTCAAACCCGTTTTTCACTCAGCTAACCAATTAACTGGTTCCGAACTAGTTCGCCGCTGGTTCAACTGAGTCGAACTCAACAAAAGCTCACAGAGCAAAGATCTTTCTTTTTCGACTTTCTGAACACAACAACTAGTTCCGAATTGTCTAAAAAACGGTTCAAAAGTAGTTCCAAATAGTTTTATTAACAAAAAAAAAACGAAAGTTAAAAAAAAAGCTGTATTAATTAGGTTTCTAATTTGAGTTAAATAACTAGAACTTGTCGTTCGGCTTGGCGGCGAGCCGCTCCAGGCGCTTGATGGCATCGTCCAGGAATTGGCGCTGCAGCTGAAGCTGGGGCAGCAGCTCCTCGGCGCTCAGCAGCTGGATATTCTTGCCGGCGCCTTGGTCCGGCCAGTGCCCGCCACGCCGGAAGCTGGACGAGACCAGGCTTGTAGTTGGCGTTGTGCTGCTGCCGCCGGGTCGCAGCATGGCCAGCAGACGTTTAATGAGCGAGGGTGAGCTATGATCCGGCGGCTGGGCAATGCCGGCGCCGGGCAGCTCGGGCATGGCCAGCAAGGGTGTCAGGAAATAGGAGCCGGCGCTAACCGGAGTCTTGGGCGTGCTATTGATCACATCGCGTTGCAACTCCAGCGGCTGTTTGGCAGTTCCGGTGCTGCTTCCGTTGCTGTTCGGCTGCAGTGCATCCAGCTGCTGCTTCAGCTCGTCCAGTTTGTGCTGCAGAAACTGAAAGTCAGCGGCCAAATTGAGCGCCAATTGCTGTGCATCCTGCTGCACCTTGTTGCCCGACCTCAGCGCCTCCAGCGTCTCGATCTGCTGCTCTATCTCCTGCTGGCGCCGCTGCAGCTCCTCCAGCAGCAGCGGTGTCTCCGGCGTGAATGCTTCCATATAGATCCGACCCAGTTCCGCCTGCAGCAGCTGCTTATGCACACGCAGCGCGCTCAGCTTCAGCTCCAGCTGCTGCGAACTGCCAGATCCAGCTCCAGCTGCAGCTGATATTTCGGATGCCACCTGGACGCCCAACAGGGCGACACCTGAGCAGAGCAGCAGCGCAACTTGTTCTGGACGCCAGCACAACATCTTGTCAACTGACAGCTGGAGATGAACTGATGAACTGGGCCTCAACTGGGGGGCAACAGTGCTGCCAATTTGGCTATTTACAAGCCAGATTTGGCTTGCTTACGGCTCTAATTTGCAGCTGCCGGGATTCAAAGCAAAAGCGTTGGAATACTCTACTCCATGTGGAATATATCGTAAACTCGGTTAATCTGGTCATGTTCCTCGCGACTTGCGAAGCCCTGAAAATTGTATACAGTTCGGACTCTGGAACCAGTTGAACCAGTCGACTCAGCAAGCTAGTTCAGCTGTTTTTTAACACTGGATTTAGCTAGGTTTTCCGTTAAAGTTGACAGCCGGCAACACTGTTGGGCTGCTTTCTCGGCCAGCGCAGCAGGCGGGGCACACACACTTTCTATTCTGGACTTGAATTTTAAGATCGTCATTTAACGGGAAAACTCAATTCAAATTTTATGTGCTTGACTAGCGACAAACAACATCAACTTGTTAACCAACACACATACACACTCTCCCTCTCCCTCTCTCTCTCAGTGTCTGTCTGTCTTCGTCTCATTGCATCTCTTGCTCTCTTTCTCTCTGTCTGTCGCCATCAACCGGCTCAAACGTTGATCTGTTGCAGGTGCCGTCGGTTCCTATCAGTCGAAGTGCGATAACAAAACAATGTCGACCAACGTGACAGATCCAGATGCGGAGTACACGGAGCCCGTGGCCGTGTGCAAGGCGAACGAAATCCAGGAGAACGAAATGAAGCAGCTGGAGTTCAATGAGGACACCAAAGTGCTGCTGGTGAAGCAGAACGGGCGGCTCCATGCACTGGGCAACAGGTGCACCCATTACGGTGCACCGATGCATACGGGCGGATTGGGCGTCGGACGTGTACGTTGTCCGTGGCATGGTGCCTGCTTCAACATAGAGACGGGCGATATTGAGGACTTTCCGGGCCTGGACTCGCTGCCCTGCTACAAGGTGGACGTTAGCGCCGAGGGCGAGGTTATGGTGCGCATGAAGCGCAGCGATCTGGAGAAGTCGTCACGACTGAAGGATATGGTCAAGCGGCAGCCGCAGGACGAGCGCTGTTTTATTGTTGTCGGCGGCGGGCCGTCGGGCGCCGTCTGTGCGGAGACACTGCGCCAGGAGGGCTATACGGGTCGCCTGATCCTGGTGTGCCGTGAGCCCTATTTGCCGTACGACCGCGTCAAGGTCTCCAAAGCGCTGAGCATCGGCATCGAGAGCCTGCTATTCCGTGACGAGCAATTCTACAAGGAACACGACATTGAAGTCTGGCTGGGCGTCAGCGCCGAGAAGCTGGTGACCGCCCAAAAGGAGCTGCACTGCTCCAACGGCTACGTGGTCAAGTACGACAAGATCTATATAGCCACCGGCTGCTCGGCCTACAAGCCGCCCATTCCGGGCGCCGATTTGGCGAATGTGAAAACCATACGCGAATACGATGATGCGCGGGCCATACTCGATCTGGTCACGCCCCAGTCGAATGTCGTCTGTCTGGGCTCCAGTTTTATAGCACTGGAGGCGGCGGCATTTCTGGTCACGAAAGTGGCCAGCGTTACGGTTGTGGGCCGCGAGAATGTGCCGCTGAAGGCCGCCTTTGGCGAGGAGATCGGCGGACGCATTCTGAAGCTGTACGAGGACAACAATGTCAACATGTTAATGGGTAGCGGCATTACGCAGATCATTGCCGATGACGATGGCAAGCTGGTCGAGGTGATGCTGCTCGATGAGACGACAATACCCTGTGATTTGCTCATCATGGGCACCGGCTCCAAGCTGAACACCGATTTTCTGGCCAATTCGGGCGTGCGACTCAACAAGAACGGTTCGGTCGATGTTACCGACTTTCTGGAGACCAATGTGCCCGATGTCTATGTGGGCGGCGATATAGCCAATGCCCATATCTACGGACTGGCCCAGTCGCGCGTCAACATCGGACACTATCAGCTGGCGCAGTACCATGGACGGATTGCGGCGATCAATATGTGCGGCAGCATCAAAAGGTCAGAGGCGGTGCCGTTCTTCTTTACCCAAATCTTTGGCAAGGGCTTTCGCTATGCGGGCCATGGCAGCTACAAGGAGATCATCATCGATGGCAGTCTCGAGGATCTGCAGTTTATTGCATATTTTGTTAATCATGCCGATACCGTTACGGCTGTCGCATCATGCGGCCGGGATCCGATTGTTGCCCAATTCGCGGAGCTAATCTCGCAGGGCAAGTGCCTGGGACGCAATCAAATAGAGAACGAGGCCGATCGCCAGGCGTGGACCGCAATGCTCAAACAGCCGCTGCCCAAAATACGCTAATTCGACAATTTGATCACAAAAAGTCGGCACATATGGTCCGATCGGCCGATTCCATGCCAGTTATTATTTAGCAACACGAGATTCATTCTTATATATATATCTATGTATAGTATTATGTGCGTGAACCGCTCGAAAAAAAAAAACTAATTGTTAAATTTGTTAAATCGTGCAAGTTTTATATGGATTATGCGCAGCTATATCTAACTATATCTATTTCTATATATGCCTGCAATTTGCTCGGTTTCAAAATTATTTCATGATCGTCTGTTCCCCGTATTCTTGCACCTAGGCAAAAACAGTTTTGTACAATAAATAAATATGTTATCTACGATATACGATTGTCATTTTGCTTAGATTGAGCTCAGGTTTTTCCATTTGCACGTCAACGATTGAGTATCCTTCTAGAAAGAGTGTGCATATCATTAGTTTTCGATCGACTCCAGACGAGGCAGGGACAGAGTTCGATCTGGAACATTTTTTAAGATTTGGTTGGCTGGCGTAGACAGATATTTTAAATCAATGAAATATTCGTAGACACTTTGGAGCGCTCTCAAAATTCCAAATTCCGAGCACACATTCGTTTCCATCAGGCAGATGCACGTTGCACAGATCTAGAGGAGCAACGGCATGGAGAACAATGGGCAGTCGATGTCGAGTGCCGTGGAATGCATGATGCATAGCTGGCTCGACGCCTGGCGTTCCCTCAACGGGGACTGTCTTCTGATAACGACAACCGCGTGGAGATTCAAGAATTTGGTGTGTAAATCGCACCGAGATTGAGATGCGAACGGCTTTTGAGTTAATCCAGTGTCAGATCTTTTTAGCTGCCAAGCAAATCTATTGCTATGAAATGATATTGCAGGAGCGAAAGATTGTGAATGATAGTTTCATCAAGTGCATCACAACTGCCGAGGAGATCTCCAGCAAGCGGCGCACAAGGCAGTCCAGGCTGAGCAATGAGAACCAGCGAATGCTCCGGCAATTGCTTTGCCTAAAGGGCGAGCTCTCCGAACGGCAGAAGGCCCTGGTCAAGACCAAGCTGGAGTTGCACTGTCTCCGTCAAAGGCTACGCCAGCAGGCGTTCAGGACAAGTCGCATGGCCTCGCGGCTGGAGGAAAATAAATTGTTGACCGAAAAGCTGTTGGAACGCAACGTCAAGTTGAACGAGCGGGTAATTATTGAGCTGTATTCTTACCTTACTGATTGACTGACTGACTGATTGACTAACTGACTGCTGAGCAGTGCAGAGCACAGTCCGTGTTTGCTGCAATTCACGCGTTTCAGTGATTTCATCAAATCCACATCAAATTACATTTAATGAATTCCCATTTTGAATGGAACTTGCTGTCAGCGAAAGTTTGGTCCGTTCGGCTTCAAGCTTTAAATATATATAAATATATTAATCATTTCCGGCGAAGCTTGGCCCGGATAGACCCGGGCAATACTACTCTAGTATACCTTATAGGAAAGCTAATCGTGTATTTGAATAGACCAGGGAATTGTTGGAACTGTACAGAACGCGTGCGCTTATGTTTGTCTATAAGCTAATTGGCATGACGCAGGAGCTGCTTGCCACCAAAACCAGGTCCAAGGCATTCGCAGATGCCAGCGCGCATCTGAAGAGGTAAAGCATGAGACCAAGCCCAAGCAAAGGCAAACATAATAATTTAACAGCCATTGTTATGCTAAACAGTAAAAACAAAAAGCTGCAATTGCGCCAAAGAATGCTTATCAACAAATACACTACGCTTGTCGCTCAAGCCACAGCCCCGAAGGATGCACAGGATGCCAATTATGGACTGGTTCACATGGCGCTCCATTATATGGCCTGCCTGTGGGAGTGCGTCTCGAGCCTGGGTCAGTGTCCAAAGCTGGAGGGACCAAATCGCCGTTTTCAGTGGGCTCTTTCCTTAATATAAACAACGAGTACTTTTACAATTCAACCTTATTGTCAATTGAATGCATTAAAAGCAATTTTAACAGCCTGCGATTAATTGATTAATTGAATTTGGCAGGGCTGCACAGCTAGCTAAAGGCCAGGGCTGTACAGCAGCTAGTTGCCGGCATTGCAACAGGGTTGCAGCTATCGATATGTGTATCGATGTCGCGAACGCGATGTTTCGATTTGCATTTATTATTATTATTGTTGTTTGTTTTTGTTGTTGTTGTTTTTTTTTTTTTTGGTGGTGCTGCCGATGAATCGTCGATAGTTTTGCGGAAAATTTTTTTACACACCAGCAGCAGCCAGCGCACACACACACACACACACACACACACACAGAGACACACACACAAAAACGCCCAATAAATTACAGTTGCAGGCAGCGCACACATAAAAAGTTTTATAACAAAAAGCAAAGAAAACGCATACAAAATAGATATAAACCGGGTCAGCAGACAACGGCCAACGTTAAAAGAGTACAAGCTAACGAAAACATTCCAATAAAAGAAGAACAAATTAAATCAAATACCAGAGTTACAGCCAGAGCTGCCTGCCTGCGCCAAGTGTAACCAAAGTGTAAAAAAAAAAAAAAAACACCCGATACCGAAAACATTTTTATCAATTATGAATTTCTTGGGCTTTGGCCAATCAGCCGAAATAGATATTGTATTCGATGGTGCCGAGAATAAAAAGACCGCCGAGGTCAAGGGCGAGGATGGCAAAGTGGAGAAGATGCTGCTCTTCTACGATGGCGAAACAGTATCCGGCAAGGTAAACCCTAGCTCTAGCTTTAGCTGAACGCGTTTTGCGGTGCATGGAGCAAGGAGACGCGCAGCGGCGGCAGCACTTCCGCTCTGCTGCCGCCCACCGAGCAGCAGTTATCAGCAGCAGCAGCAGCAGCAGCGGCAGCGGCAGCAGCAGCGGCCCGTATAAACAAGCGCATAAATATTGCACAAAGTTGTTGATTATTTGAGTTTTGTGGTGACAAACTATGTTTTATCTTGTAGGTAAATGTGACGCTTAAGAAGCCCGGCAGCAAACTGGAGCATCAGGGCATTAAGATTGAGTTCATTGGACAAATTGAATTGTTCTATGATCGGGGCAATCATCATGAATTCAAGTGCCTGGCCAAGGCGTTGGCCCGTCCCGGCGATCTCATACAGAACAATAGCTATCCCTTCGATTTTCCAAATGTGGAGAAACAGTTTGAGGTATATGCCGGTTCCAATGTACGTTTGCGTTACTTTCTCCGCGCGACAATTGTGCGACGGATAAGCGATATCACGCGCGAGGTGGACATTGCTGTGCATACGCTCTGCAGTTATCCGGAAATGAATAATCCAATCAAAATGGAGGTGGGCATCGAGGATTGCCTGCACATCGAGTTCGAGTACAACAAAAGCAAATATCATCTCAAGGATACAATAATTGGCAAAATATATTTTCTGCTTGTACGCATTAAGATTAAGCATATGGAGATTGCGATAATTAAGCGCGAATCCACCGGCACCGGACCGAACATTTTCAATGAGAACGAAACGATTGCCAAATACGAGATAATGGACGGTGCGCCCGTCAAGGGCGAAAGCATACCCATACGCGTATTCCTTGCCGGCTACAATCTGACGCCGACAATGCGGGACATTAATAAGAAGTTCTCGGTCAAGTATTTTCTCAATCTGGTGCTGATGGACACCGAGGATCGCCGCTATTTTAAACAGCAGGAGATAACGCTGTGGCGCAAAGCGGATATACCACGCTACCATGTTGCCCAGCAGCAGCATCAGCAGCAGCAGCAGCAGCAGCAGCAACAACAGCATCAGCAGCAGTCGCATCATCAGCATCACCAGCACGTGCCGCTGCACGCACCGCCGCATTTGGTGAGCGGTCCGGCAGCCCCGACCGTTGCCCATTCGCTGATTAGCAGCAGCACGGACAGCGAAGGCGCTGCCATTGGCGTCGGCGCCCAAGCCGAATCCAAAATGGGCCTGTTCACGCGCGAGAGCCCCAATCAGGAGTTTAGCCAACAGCAGCTGGACTCGCCGCTGCCCAATTCACCGATGACGCCTGGCAACGAAAGCAATGCAATTGTGGCCGCCGCCGCCGCCGCCGCCGCGGCCGCCGTAGCTGCCGGCAGTGAACGTGAGCGTGGCATGGGCGATGGCGCTGCCGCGGCAACGACAAGCGCCTCACCAGTGGCCATGCTGTCGAACACGCCGCCGCCGCTGCTGCAGCTGCCGCCGACCAGCGAGGAGCAGCCGGAGATGTTGCAATCACCGGCGCATGCCGCCGGCGATGGCAACATGGAATTCGATTTAAACGATGATGACGATGAGCGGGCACAGCTTGTGCCCGACGATGAGCTAACGGACGTGGCGTTGCCAACGCCACCAGCACCCGCAGCCGTGCCCGTGCCCGCACCCACGCCCGTCTCCACAGCCGCCAAAAAGGTGAACGCTGCGCCACTGAGCGCGGATTGAGTGGCAGCCACGATTCTGTTAACGATTGCGAATATGTTTATGTTTATGATTTCCACAACAACTCAATGGCTGGCGATAGCTGGGTCAACTATTAACGTATATCCAAAACGTATACACGAAAAATATGCATATATATATACACACACACACACACATACACACGCATATATATATATATATATGTGTGTATATCTATTTTTTTAGAAATTAATTTGAAATTGTTAAAGAAAAATGTTTTATTGAAGTTATGCGCGCAACTTGATCCACTTGCACACACACACACACACACGCACACCCTTTCGGCAAAAATAATATTCAATATGTACACAGACGCTATTAATACCCTCTCTCTCTCTCTCTCTCTGCCTCTCTCTGTCTCTATCCATGCTCTTAGCTCTAGTAACTTGTATTCAAAAACAAAAATCATTGCATAAGGCAAACGAATGTTATAAATTTTTGTAAGCCAGACCACGCCCACTTTGCAAAGGAAACGCCCAACTAAAAGCAATATAAGAACTCATTCCCATTTGGAAAATTTGATTTTTCAATTAGCAACAAACAACAAACAGAGAATACAAAACAAATGCTTTTTAAAAGTAAATTCAAATTGAACAATTCAAATCAATACAAAAAACCGATGCGTAAGCATAACTAAGTTAAATATAAAGTTTAGAGAATATATATACATATATGTATAAATATATAAATCGAAGCACGCCTAGAAAACATGTTACATGCATCCGCATATATATAAATCTATATATATATATATGTATGGGCACGATATATGCTTGCATATGTACATAACATATTTCATATTAATATATGCATATATATATATATATATATCTTTATATATATATATATATACATGTATATTATAAATTACAATTTATGAAATTAATAAAAACGAGACAGAAAACCGAATCTTGTATGAACCGAAGCAATCAAAACACGCATAGAGCAATAATATTCCGAGCAGTTTACAATTCTAAATGCTTTAATTTAATTAATGAAAGGCATGAAAACGAGCGAGAGGCCTTGTCAAGCTAGCTTTAAGAGAGACACGACTAATCCGTATCCGTCTAGAGAGAGGGAGATATGGAGCAGATGCCACATGGAGCCGCTTTCAAGTAGAGTTGGCCAATACAAGCTTCTTCGGAGCACCGAATAGTTAACACCCTTACTGGCTTAAAGCATATGTTAGGCTCATAGAGATCATGTAGAGTTTGATTAAAATAATTGACAAAAACAAAAAACCAACCAACTAGTTTTTCATATAAAAACTTTCAATTTTAGCTTCGCCTTTTGATGATGTTAGCCTATTATTGTTGACAAGTTTTTGTCCACACTCTAATCGATCGATTGCTTCAATTTTAACCAGACGTTATAGTGTGATCCGATGCAGGGGATTGTTCCTATCTGGCCGCCTTTGAGAATCTGCAAATGCCTTCGATTACAGAGAGTTTAAGATTTATTCAATAGCTTGCAGAACATGTGTGTTTTGAAATGAATTAAACTTAGTTACTTATTAGTTAGTCCCAGGCCTCCTTCACTCGCAAATGCTGCAGTCGCTCTTCGATGGTCACGTGGGGCTTCATCTTGCTGCGGGTCTGCTCATCCGTCCATTTGGCCACCAGCTTGTCGCGTTTCTGCAGCTCCTTGGCGTGTCCCGACGATTGCTCCTGTTACAGGGGAAGGCTTTATGTTTTTATGAATGACCAACAACAGCTAAATGTCTATGTATACCAGCGTGAGATATGGATGCCTCAGCAGAAACATGATGTGCTCCTGGCGCTCGTATTCGCGGGTCAGCGTGTCCATGGCACGTTTGCTCACCGGCTTGACGAGACGCCGCTTGCCGCGGAATATGTGGCCGGGCACGGTTTTCTTGAACAAATTGATTAAAGTCAGCTGCATTTTGTGCCTGCCTAACTATTTTTTTTTTTTTTGTTAATGCACGTTCAATGTTATTGCACAAGTCGTTGCGGCAGCTGAGGGGTGTTATCGTTATCGCTGCGGCCATTTGTAGGCATATACATGTATCGATATATCGGAGCGCCCTGCTCTAGCAAATGAATCGATAGTTTTGCACTCAATTCCCAGGCATATTTTGAAAAAAAAAAAGTTAACATACTAAAAAGATGATTTGTATTTTGTTGGGCACAAATTTACAGACTGCAAATCATATAAAACAAATGCGCAGCTTAGGCACTATTTTCGGACAGGGGAAAGGGACTGGCATGCATCACATTGCCCTGATGCAATGCACCCTCAACAAAATGCAAAATCTCGAATCCCACCTCGACCATAATCAAAATAATTATCATCCATTCGAGCCGTATGTGATGGGCATCGTTCAAATTGTGGGACACCAGTTCGGCCAGCTCGACGCAATGGTTGATCTTCTCGTTCATCACCTTGGTGCGACGCGATATGCTAAAATAGGAGCACACCTGCAGATAGAGACCCTCCAGCTCCTCGCGATCCCAGTAAAAGTCCGGTGCATCCAGCAGATCCGAGGACAGATTAATGGAATGCCGCAGGGCAAACAGTTCGCCTGTTTTGCGCAGCATGGAGGCGCGCGAGATGCGCAATCGCCGACCCCGCTTCAGATCCTCCGTCAAGTACTCCATGGAGTCAATATAGCGATCCAGTGTCGCCTCCCAGATGCCCAGCTTGATCGACTGCGCAATCGCATTGGAGAATGTGTATTTGTACAGGAAATTATCGCTATCCGGCGTCAGATAGAACTTGCCGTTCTGAAAGAAGGCGCGCGATGACACATTCAAATCACTTGACTCCGCCACCAGATCGCCCTCGACATCGACGGCCGTCGATGCGATATACGTGTAGGGCATCACCTCGCTCTCGCCATGGACCAGGGTGCTCACGTACGATTCACGCTCAAAGCTGCGCAAGAAGTTGAGCACATTGTTCGTCTCGATGTCGTTGCAATTCCAAAAGACAACGGAGCCCTCGCGAAAGAAGAATATCTCGCGCGGCCGGGAACCGGTCTGATATTTGGCGGTGACAAAGAGCACATTCTGCTCCACGCCCAGATTGTCCGTGGAGAAGAAACGTTTCGTTTCGTATAGATTCTGTTGCTTGAGCGCCGCATGCAGCTCCTCCAGATTGTACTCATCGGCCGTTGTGTAGCCACGTGTATTGAGAAAACCCAAGGCGGACAGCTCATCGATAGCCAGACGCTTCTTGCGCAATGCACGCGTTCGTCCGGGCGAGAGTCCCGTCTCGAGCGGCTCGTCCACCTGCGGCAGGGTCTTGACACCGCCGGCCTTGATTGTTGTTCCCGTCGCCGTTCCAGCTGCTTCGGTTTTGTCCTTTGGCGCCGTTATGCTTCCGGCCAGGGATCTGCTGAACTTTGGCAGCCATCTCGTTTGCTTATGCCACCAGGCACGCTGCAGCTGTGTGTGCAGTTTGCATGTGTGTGTTCGGGGCAGGAGGCTTAGGTTGCGTACGAGTGCCGTTTGCACGGCAAAATGTGCCCTGTTCATAACGCTGGCAATTGCTCTTGTTTTCTTTTCTCGTAATTTTCAAAAAGAACACTTCCAATTGCCATAACACTTGGCACGATATTTGTCCAACTATCGGATATCGACAGTGGAGCCGGCAGTTCAGCGAGCTGGTTCGCGAATGAACTTTGGCTTTGGCTCATCGAGCCGCAATGATGTTAACAATTGAATGCGTTTTCGTGTGTATTTGTGTGCGCTTATTCTATTTGAATATATCGAGAATTTTGCATTGTTTCTAAAATGACTTTCACTTTAACTACTGCTCGGTATTAATAATCATTTTTAGGCATATTTTAAATCAGCTGTCAAATTCAACGTCACGTTCCGTTCAAACGGTTCAATGCGGTATTTAAAAAATATCAATAATTTAACGATATCAAAAAATCGAAAGGCAAAACAAAATAACAAAAATACCGATTACACAAAATTGATCTATCGATAAGTGCAGCAACAACAAACCAATACGTATGGCTGTTGTTGTCTGTGGCGGCAACGCATCAAATCAAGATGGAGAACGCTTTATTTTCCAACATCAAAAAGCTATACGACCACGGCCTATACGAATGCGTTATACCATCGGTAAGTTGAAGCGTGCTCAGCTCTGGCCAGCACAAATTTCACACACTCTGCTGGCAAGTCGCAGCAATAGGAAAAACTTCGCGCCGAGCTGGGGGCATGCAAATCCTTAATTGAAACACACACACACGCACGCATACACCCACGCACTCACACACTTGCAATTTGCAGGCCAGCCTGTTGTGCACACTGCTGCAAAATGATCGAAATGTGGCCACACTCGAAATGGAATACCAGGCAATGCTCTATCTAAGCAATGCCAATTATAAACAGCACAATTATCGCACCGCCTGCAATCAACTGGAGGCAGTTGTCCTGCAGCGCAAATCGATGCTGCGCTTTAAGAGCAGCTATCTGACGGCCATCGAGAGCTCCTATCCGCAGTTTCAGGATGCCGAGCTGCGCTACAAGATCGCCATCTGTTACCAGGAGCTGGGCGAATACAACATGGCCATGAGCACACTGCAGGCGGTTAAGACGCGAACACCGCGCCTGAACATGTTGCTGGCCCGGCTAATGCATCATCATGGTCGCGGCGTTAGCAAGAAGGAGATTGCGCTCGCCTTCAAGGATGTGCTGCGCGAGTGTCCCATGTCGCTGACATCCATCGAGGCGCTCATCGAGCTGGGCATCGATGGCAGCGAGGTGCATTCCATGGTCGTAAATGGTGCGTATTTCCCGAAAGATCTCTTACAACTGAACCAGCTCCGAGTGGGTGGGGGGGGGGGGGGGGGGGAATACTGAAAGGATATTTCCTCATTTTGGAGGGGGAAAAAAAACACTTTTTTTCAAATTCACCCAAAAGCTCCAGGATTTTATTGAATTCTAAACAGAATTTTTCTTTTTGTTTAAAAAACCATTCGTGAATCCGTTTCGTGGTTCCAATAATGGTTCCTTATTAAACCCGAACCTTATTCTAATCTGAACCAGTTCCGGCAGTCGTAAGCGGAAGAGGGAGGGGGGGGGGGGGAATCCCCTAAAAAAAAAAAGATTGGTTTGGTTTAAGATTTGGTTCAAATTGAATTACTTGGTACTCAGGGCTCGAACCGCCAAAGCTGCAAACCTGCTTGCAGTCTCCATGAAAATTTATAACCCTCTAGAACATGCTCGGAACGATATTGAACTATATTTACAAACAACGACAATTGTTGTTGGGTTCAGAGCGTGAACCGAACTATCGATACTTCTTTTGGGGTTCACGATTAACGATCCGAACCTAGGTCGAGGCAGAGAATCGGTTCAAAGCGTGAACCGAACTATCGATACTTTTGGGTTCCCGAACCGCAGCTTAAGGCAAAGAGTTGTTTCAAGGCGTGGACCGAACTATCGATACTTCTTTTGGGGTTCACGATTAACGATCCGAACCTAGGTCGAGGCAGAGAATTGGTTCAAAGCGTGAACCGAACTATCGATACTTGTTTTGGGGTTCACGGATTGCAGATTAAGAAACAGAATCGGTTCAAAGCGTGATCCGAACTATCGATACTTTTGGGTTCCCGAACCGCAGCTTAAGGCAAAGAGTTGTTTCAAAGCGTGAACCCAACTATCGATACTTCCTTTGGGGTTCACGATTAACGATCCGAGCTATCGATACTTTTTGTGGATAGATCAGTATCACGAAACGAACCAAGAGGCAAGGCGCTGGCTCGAACCTTGAATCGAACCAGCGACTGGGGAAACAGCTGGTTCGAACTGTTAATTTCTGGTTAAAGTGAAATTTGAGTGCTTTGCCCTGAACTGGATACAAAACTCCATCCACAGCCGCCGCGCTGCCGAAGAACATCGAATGGCTGAGCAGCTGGATCAAGGGGCATGCCCAGATGTACGGCTGCAAGCATCGGGAGGCGGCGCAGACATTTCAACAGCTAAACGATACAACATCGTTCCGCCAGAACGAGCATCTGCTGACAAAGATTGGCCAGTGCATGTACTATTACGGCAATTTTGTGCGGGCGGAACAGTATCTGGCCATGGCCACAATGCTCAATCCGCACAATCTGGACGCCCTCTGCCCGCTGGCCGTGGTCTACGAGTTCAACAAGAAGAAGCTCGAGCAGGGCAAACTGATTGCGCCGCTCGAGATACGCACCACCGGGGAGTTCAGCTCATCGCATTGGTTCCTGCACGCCCAGCTCTCCTATATGAATTCCAAATACGATCGCTCCCTGATCTTTACGGAGCGTGCTCTGGCCATGGATGCGCGCAACATTGAGGCGCTGCTGCTGCGCGGCCGTCTGTTCGGCGGCTTGGGTCGCCACAAGGATGCGATCGATGTGTTCCGCAGCGCCCGCTGCCTGGCCCCATACAGATTCGAGGTGTACAAGGGTCTGGTCGCGTGCTTTATACGCCTAAAATGGCTTAAGGAGGCGCAGACCATGTGCGCATTGGCCGTTCGATATTTCCGGACATCGCCGCGCAGCTATACCATGTTCGGCGGCACATTGTTCCATCTGGCCAATCCGACGGCCAAGAAGAGCGCACGCAAATTTGTCGAAAAGGCGCTGCAAATCGATGAGCACTATGCGCCCGGCATTGCACTGATGGCCAGCATCTATCAGGATGAGGGTGACACCCAGGAGGCAATTGTTTTACTGCGCAAACAGGTCGCCAGTCATCCGCATCCCAAGCTGTTTGCCATGCTGGCCGAGTTGCTCAGCGTCGACAAGGATCTGGATGCGGCACTTCATTATTACACGTTGGCGCTCAGGTGATTTCTCTCTCCCTCTCTCTCTCTCTCTCTCGCTCTCGCTCTCGCTCTCGCTCTAACTGGATGCATATGGGCTACTTTTGCAGATTGGATCCAACATTTCAGCGCGCCTTGGATGGCATCAATTCGCTGACCAAGGCGGCCCGCACTGGCAAGCCCAGCGACAAGGCCAGCGAGTCGGCGAGCAGCTCCAGCGTCGCCGCCGGCGATGCCAGCAATGCGGCCAGCATGTCCAGGCCCTGTACGACGCCCAATCATGAATGGCTGCTGGACTGCGATGAGGCATCCACCGAGGCGCTGGAGCTGTCCTCGCCGGCTGGGCCGCCGGAGGATGTTGAATCGGATACGTTCTCGGAGCCCTTCTGGCAGGATGTTGACGGCGAGCTGACCAACTAATTTGGCCAAGTGAAGCTTCCGCTAGCCGCCAAGCCAACCCAGACCCCACCCCCCCCTCCCGCCACCCTTCACAACCAATTTATTATGTTGAATCTCTTGCGTTGCATTCCCAATTAGCCATATCTCATGTAAATTCCAAACACATGTTTTTTGTTTTTATTTTATTTTTTTTCTTTGTTTTTGTATTTAAGCGCCAAACCAAATTCTCATTATCATGAAATGTATTTATTGTTTTTGTTTTTAATTTATTTTCACTCAGCATAGATCTGAGCGGTCCATCCACCTAAATATCTCAAGACATACACGAAAGTCTGCCAGATTTCATAATTTAAGCTAAATATATTGTATGTATGTTTTAACTATGAAGTTCCAAGTGTTAAATTAAATGCAAAACTATTCTAAAACTTATTTTATTTTTTTTTTTTACTGTGCGTATTTTTTGTCTTATTTTTTATGTGTTTTCCCATTTGTTTGAACAACTGGGTGGGTTTTTCTTTGCGTGTATTTGTGTTTGTTGTTTTTGAGCACGGGCCGTTAGCTTATAGCTGTGTTTTGTCAGCTCTGTTATTAAGCCCCAGTGGCCTAATGGATAAGGCATCGGCCTCCTAAGCCGGGGATTGTGGGTTCGAGTCCCATCTGGGGTAAAGTGAATTCAATATTTTGTTAATTTTTTACTATTTCATATTATTATCATTATTTGATCCAAAAACTAGTTACATTTGCTTAACTAGTTAATTGAACCAACTCTTTAAGAATTTATAATTTGTTTTTGTCTTTATCAAGGCTTATTTACAGTCTGTTAAGTGTGGAGCCGTTCTGTTAACTCGTCTGCTGTACGGCACGGCACATATGACTATTGTGTGCAGATCAGCTGTTCGCTGCATTAGTGTGACCAGTTTGTTGCAGTTTTTTTTTTCTTTTTGGTATTTCTGTATTATGTGCCGCCTGGTCGCATATGGCACGCGCTCGCGCGCCAAAACATCAGTTGTTTATCAATCGCGCGCATTGTTGCATGTGCGTGTCCGTTAAGCGCAAAGTTGCCGACGAGCTCTTCTGTTAGTTTTTTCTTATTTTTTTTTTTTCTGTTCTTGTTGATTATTTTTTGTTGTTGTTGTTGTGCTGGTGCGCGATAATAAATAGTTGAAACATTCAAAACAAACAATAACAGTCTAACTCAAAACCAACAAATTAAACGAACTGTGTCAAATTCCTTGTGCTTTATGCAAATTGAAATACAACAATTTGCACGCTGCGAATTCTAAAAAAAAAAAAACAAAAAAAAAATCGCCACTCAAGACATTGGCACACAACCGTTTTGCATAAAGTCCTAATACAAGTTACGCGTGTGATTTATTTGCTTTTCAATTTTTTTTTTGTTTATTCAAATATTTGCAAAACATTTGCATTCGAATCAATTGACATTAAGAGCTGCGAACCAGCGATATAAAAAAGGTACGTTTAACTGTAAATTCTATGCGTTTCTTTCATTTGCGAAGATGGCAGCGGACACTTTCAAAATGGCAAGGCGTTACCGTTATATGCTTTTTGCTCGCTTTATCTGCCCACAATGGCAAAGAGAGCGTCCAATGTGCCGTTACACATGTTTCGTGTTTGATTTGATTGCAGCGAAACTGAAGAAGACGAATTTTTTGCTTGCCCTTTGTTCTTGTTGTTCTTGCTGTTGTTGTTGTAGCCCACTCGATAAGCAACATCTGCGCAAAAGTCGAACTGAAAACGAAAGCCAAATACACGATGCTGCCAAACAAAAAACTAAAACAAAACAGTTATTTTTTTGAAAAAAAAAAAAATAAAAAAAAATAATTTCTTCTACTTGGTTGACATGTTGATAAAAAGCGAGCATATTAGTTCGCTGCGTCCACTTGTTACCCGAATCGGTCTCGTGTAGAGCTTTTGCTGCGACTTCTCACAGCTAGACCCTATCGAATTTTCAGCTCAAGTTTAATAATCGTGTGTGCAGAGTATTGGGCCAGTCGGTTACAGCCGTCTGTCATGTTCTTCGGCTTCTTGTTGCGGCCCCAAAAGATACAACGGCCTTTGTTTGCCTATCTGTAGGTCACTTGCCGAACCATATCTGAAGTGCCCGAGCCCGGATTTATCGGTTAGTTGGGTTATCTATTGGGTTATCTATTTAGCTCGGCAACAGAGCTCCGGCTTTTACACGCACTTCTTGATTGGAAGAGATTTCGCTTGACGTAACCAAAAAAAAAAAAAAAAATAATAATAATAAAAAAAAGAAGAAGAAGCTGATAATGTTCGCATAAAAAGCTATTAGAATAATCAATTTTCAATCAATTTCAGATTTATTTCAAGCAATTTATTTGTGCAATTTTTTATAGCTCATTGTTAAAGTTAAATTTGCGACTTTTGCAACACTGTAAAGCTTAACCTTAGCTGTCCGCTTAAGCGAGTGTGCACTGTAATTTCCTCAACTCTTGCAGCTGGAAATCTTTGTTTTTCTTTTTGTTCAACAGTTTTGCTTAACCCCGTCCGATAATTCCCAGAACGTCAAAACCCGGTTGACACAGTTTTGTAAATTTGCTTAAACGCAAATAATTGGAAATTCAGTTTTTTTGTTAATCTCAACGAAAAATTTGGCAGGAAATGCAGCAGAGCCCATTATTATAGAGTTGAACATATTTACATGCATATGCATGTAATATATATATACAAAAATGCATCTCGGACAGCTGTGCCTGATTAAAAAATGTTCTAACGGTACACGCAGCTAATTAAAAAACGGCAATCAGCAAATGACACAAGCAGCAACAAAAACAACAAAACCAATCAAAGCAAAACAAAAAGCAAACGATGACAGGATGCATTTGCATAAGCGCAAGCGAGATAGCAAAACGATTGGCGAACAGCAAGAGGAATAATAACAAAAAATAAACGGTTTAATTTGCCCGGCACCGCGGGTGGGTGTGCTTGTGTGCGTGTGCGTGTGTGCGTGTGTGCGTGTGTGTGTGTCAACAAACATTTGACAGCTGTTTACGCCTGTTGGACGCCGCCGTCGCAATCCGTGAGAGAGCCAAGGACTGTTGCGAGAGCCCAAAGATTGCGGCTGAGCGAGCGCGCGAGAGAATTTACCAATGTCTTTGTCGTAACTGTAACTGTGGTAATTCTGCTAAAATTTCCTTTTCGAACGGAACGAATGCAACTGATAAGCCAAGGGCCGCACACACACACACACACACTATTACAGTCATCAAAGGCTGATAAATACACACAAATAAAAACACAGACACTTGGCTGAATCGCAGCTTGAGCTCGGTTACTTTCAGCTCTCTGGCTGCCATATGTTTTGCTCTGTTTGGAACGCATGCGCCCTGTTCCCATCCCTGCCACTTCCCCCTTTCCACAACCCATGTTCCATTACCATTCCCCCTTTCCGCTATTTTCCAAACAACAACACACAGATAGCATTTTATGGATTACATTAATATTTGACAAGAGGCACAAAGTCCAAGGCACAGTGGTTGCTAGACGTTAAAAAAATGAAGCTCAGCTAAACAAAGCTTAAAGTTGTTGAATATGTGCATATGTAGGTCACAATATTTCCCAGAGTAGCCACATGATACAGTTAGTCGATATTTAGAAGGAGAAGGAGAAGATAAGTTGATATGACTGGCTTATATACGCTTTATATTATTATTATATCAAAAGTTTGTACGAAGACGCATTTTATCGGCCAACCATTTTTGAGCTGCATTCAGGCAACACTCGACCCACTGTGCTTGGTCAAACTATTCGGGCATAGTGCTTGTTCTTGTCGTTGGCTGCTTGAAATTGGTGGTTTCAAGTGCGGCAGGACTTGCGTAGAAGCTGAAGCTCTCACGAGTCGCCAGTCGCGAGCAGCGAGCAGCACTGCCGGCACGAAGCGCCGCCCGAAGTCGGGCACGATCCAACCCTTGCGGCTGTGCCAAAGTCATCTGGAGTTGGCGTCGCAGTCGCTGTCGCTGTCGCTGTCGCAGTTACTATTTGTCCTGGGCCGCCTTTTGACGTCGTCGCTGGCAATTGCCGCAGTTTTCGCGATTTGTCTGCGGCCTTGCACGGACGTCGCTTGCGTTAACGTCAGCGTCAGCGTCAGCGTCGCGTCGTGGCCGACGTTGCCGTTTCTTTTGCTCTTTCTGCTTGTTGTTATTACGGTTTTTTCTTCTTCTTCTTCTGTGTGTGATTTTTGTTATTTTTTTTTTTTTTATTGTACGTTATATATACATATATATATATATATTTTTTATTAGTTAAGCGAAACGAACAAAATGTAGCACATTTACCGTTATAATAACGTGCTTCCTTGTCGTTGAACGTCTGTTTTCGTTTGTTTGTGTGCGTTTTCATCTGTTTGCGCGATTTTTCGGCGTTTGCGTCGCGTGCAGCAAAAGTAAGCGCAGAATTTAACGTAATTTTCGTCGATAGTTTTTGCAGCTGTTGTTGTTGTCGCTGCTGCTGCTGCTGCTGTTGTTGTTGTTGTTGTTGTTGTTGTTGTTGTTGTAGGGTGGCAACCATCGATTTGCGTGTCGTGCAGTCAAACAAATCAAATGGAAAACGCGATTGTGCATTAAACAATTCGATTGTCTATGGTTTTTGGGTGCAAAAATTATTATTATTATATTGGCCCATTATCCATTTGCCTGGCCACCCAATAACTGTCAGACCCCCCCCCCCCCCCCCCCCCTCTCTCTCTCTCTCTCTCTCTGTGTGTGTGTGTGTGTGCTTGCTGCGGAATGCACCGCATTTAGCTGCATGGGCAATGGGCTGCTAAACCCACTTACTTATGCATCTATTACAGATGTAGTTGCATACACACACACACACACACACACACACACACACACACACACAGTTTGCTGCAAAAGTCTGGACCTCTGTTAAATAAACAAGAATTAAATATAATGCAAAAAAATAGAAATTATAAAAAAATTAAAATTAAGTATATGTAATCTTGGTTTATTTTATTATAATTTTTATTATAACATTATATATAATTTTGTTTATATTTTTCAATATATATGGCTTTGCATTCCGGTTGTCATCTGTCCAATATATGGATATATATGAAATATATTCCCATGGGAAAACTTAAGACAAAGTTTTATTAAACTTGCAAAAAATAATTCATATTTCTGGTAGTCAACTTTAAAGATGGAATTCGTATTGTGAATATTTCCTTGCATTCCTTTACATGATAGAATTATATATAGCATATTATTCTAATAATATTATTCTTTTTTCTCTGTATATCGATGCATAATTACTTTCATGAAGGCGAGTGAATTCACCGGAAAGCGTGAAATCGATTTTCAATGAATTTGCTGCAGAGTTTTCACAACTTGACATTTTGTTAGAATCGCGTCTAGTGTTCAACAACGTGAAAATGTAGATTCCAAGCCTTACAGATATGGGTTCAATCAGTCAATCAGTCAGTCAATCACTTATATACCAAATTAATTCATCTAGATAAACAGCTGACATATATAAAATAATGTATAGATAAATTAAACTGGTTTAACTAAAATGCAGCTCTTAGCCTCAATCAAATGCTTGGCTTAAGTCATGGCATATGCCATCTTTGGGTGTACGCATACTTTCCAACACAACTGTGTGTCCATAAAAATATATATTAAATATGCATATATGTCACAAATAATCAGTATGACTGTGTACATATGTAAATGAATTGTTCTTTTCCATAGCACACATTACATATACATATGTATATACAAACACAATATGCAGTTGGCTCTGATAAGGCCCGAACATCAACTATATGGAGCAAATAAACTATATGGAAAAACGACGACGCTTGTTAAGTATCTGAAGAGTATGCATGTTTATTTATCTGAACGTTTTGTCGAGTTCTTTCCATGACAAATGTTTTCCTCAAAGACTTTCAGCTCTTTGCTGTGACAAGGTAACATGTCTGGGATGGATGTTGGGTGTAAACTTCTATGAGTCATATTCGTGGCAACAAATAGTGGGTGGTCGGTCGGGCGATTGAGTCATGTCAGCTATTCGGGCGGCGACCTTGATGACCGCATGCGCAGGCATTTCAAGTCAACACTCACACCTTGGACGGGCGGCGGGCAAATCGAGGACCAAGCCAAAGGTCATGTATGTATTAAGCCTGTGTCAGCCTTCGAGGCTGACCTTGCCCCTGGCCATGCCTGTTACCTGCTGTTGAGCTCGTCTTGTCATCAATAGACACATTTAACACACCTTTTTCCTAGAAAGCGAACTGCCAGTTGAGGTTAGGTTCACTCTTGGGATTGTTCAGTGAATGAATCTTGGAACAATGCCCAAGGTCCAAACACTCTGCTAAACACAAGAAAACAGAAGGTGTCACGATTTGGTCAGTTATGTGTAATTAAGGCTGGGTTTGGCCCAAGGATCGTTCGGTTTAAGGTAGCTGAATGAATTCTGAAAGCAATTGCAGGTGTTGGAAAATGTTTTAAATTTTGCAGAATTCTAGCTTTTAATTCCAGTAAGTAACAGTTTTGAGGTTATGTGCGAAACAATTGGAATTGAGGTTAGGTTTAGCACGTGCATCTCCATGAAGTAATTGATCCATTGAACAAATGAGGTTATGTTACAGAAGGCAAAAGGTCTTCAAGTTGTTAGACTTTTATTCCAGAGAGTTGTCATTCTTGGGCAAGCTTCCGAATTGGGATTAGGTTCAGTTATGGCCATGGAAAAAGGAAATTGTGCAATTGAGGTTAGATTTTTATTGAAAATTCTCTTTCCACTTGGAACAAAGATAGATCGTTCATCATCAAAAGATGCATTAGTTTGAGTATAATAAAAATCAAAGTTCAGCTCTAGGGACAAACATGCTTAATTCCTGGCAGTGTAGGACCTAACTTAAAGTGTGACCAGCGCAACTTTGTGTTCTGTTAAGTTGATTCCCCTTTTTTTTTTTGAATGGGTTTGCCAGTTGTTGTTGTGATTTTCTGCGCGTGTTTGCTGTGCTTTTTGCCATTTCCGCTTGTCAAACATTTGTCGGCTTTTAGCTTATTACCAACTTTGTGTGTGTGTGTGTGTGTGTGTGTGCGTGTGTGTGTGTTGTGATTGCGAGACAAGCCTACACGGCGCTAGCTAGTTGTATTGGTTGGACTCGCACTCGCATCTGTTCGCCTGTCCGTCTGTCCGTCTCTATGAGTATTCGCACGTTATGTCTACCAATCTGCCGTCTCTCTCTCTCTCTCTCTCTCTCTCTCACTCTGACAGTCTGTCTCTTTCTGTCCACACGGCGTTTTCATAATGACTCGCACTCGTAGTTTTTCGCGCATTTCATCGCATATTTACGTAGGCCATTCGAACCAAGTGTTAACGCCTTTATTTATTGACTTATTTGTTTAGAGTATATCGTGTGTGTGTGTGTGCGTGTGTGTGCGTGTGTAACGCTCAATGACATTAAGCAAATAAAACTCCATTTACCGTTTTCCATTTACATTTCTGATGATGTCACACAATACCTTTGCATACTTCAACATTTCAATAGTACAAAAACTATCTATATTCAAATATTCCATATTTACTTATTTTCATCTTTTGTTTACCTTCAGACGGGCTCTTCTACAAAAACAATAACGTTCTTCAGACGCACAACATCAGTTCGGTAAGTCCAAAGCTATTCGAAGTTAAGATCAAAGAGGCTGCTCGGTTTGAGGTTAGGTTCATTCCAGGCAACTATTTCCATGAGATGAAACGCAGAAAGAACATAATAACATAAAAGCAAGTATATAGAATAGAAAAGGAGTTTGATTAGATTGATGAAATTACCCGGCATTGCCCGGCTCAAATATATATTTCTTACAATTTCTATGAAAACAAAAAACTATTTCTTTAAGAACAAAGTTTTCAATAGAATAAACATAAAAAAATATGATATTACACGACAAAATAGCCTCTACCAGGTTAGAAGGAGTTCGTATTTATTTCAGATATATGCATTTATTTGCAACATCTTTATATTAAGTCATGTTTCTGGCCATATTACATTAAGATTTCTTTATATTATTCACAAGGGAGCTTTACAACTTTGATGTACATAGGTTTTGCGACACTGTGATCAATTAAATTCTTCTTATTATCGTCTACTATTCATTTATATCTACATACATTTGGCGTTAGAATGTTTTCACTTTCCGGTTTAGCCGGTTATGTGACGTAATTTCGAGTACAAAGTAAAATGTTATGCGTAATGCTTGCAATTACCCATTGACAATACTTTTGCCCCAAATGAACCATTCACAACTAGCTTATCGAGCTATACGTGACGCCCTCTCGCTGCCCCAAAGAACCCCGAATGCACACACACACACACACACGCACACACACGCACACACACACACATGCCTTAAGCATATTTATATAGCAGACGCCTCCGAGCTAATCATGCTTTCCGCAAAAGTCGATCTGAATCATAAGGCGTCCGATATCCGTGCGTTGGTTAAAAGAAATGCGAATATCAAAATTGAAATACAAAATGTTTCGTCATTTTTCGCATCGAGCAGATGTGCGACACTCACAATTAGCTATATATATATATATGCATATATGTATATATATATTTATATAGGCATATCGTGTCGTAGGTCAAGAATTCGAAACGCTTTATGGGCTGCTTGCCAAATACAAAAAAAAAATAAAATAAAAATACAAATTAATGAAATACAAAAAATATGACGCACAGTTTGTCGCTTAATTTTGATTGCATTTTCGTTGATTGGGTTTTCGGTTACACTTTTTCTTTTTATCGTAATGCTCTGCCAGAGGGTATGCCAGCTTATCAATGTTATATGTAACACATATGTGCTCTTTTTAAGCATAACTCGCAGATTATAAGAGCCAGTTACAACTAAGTGGGTGTGCAGAAAGATTCCAGAATATTTCCCCCCTAGATAGCCCTGGAACTGGAAGAGACTCATCTTAAAGAAGCAGCCCTGCGCTTTGGTATTCACACATATTTTTATGTCATATTTAGGCCCTGAAATTTTCATTGAGATCGGACTAGCAATAACGAAGTTCATCAAGGAACTAAAAGTTCGTTTAGTTATAGGCTGTGCCTGGGCTCAGAGCATCGCGTAGTCGTGCACTACCAGCTCGAGCACTTTTACTTCTTTCACTTAATTTTATTTGATTTTTGGTTTTCGGTTTCGTTTTTCAATCGGTTTGGATTACGTTTTTGTTTTCCATGCACATTCCCAGCCGCTTATCATATCGCCCCGATAGTCATTCAAACGAGCTAGCACCAAAAACGAAAAATATATATATATAAAAAATAAAAAAAAACTAAAGACAAATTGGTCAAACGTGGTACAAATTAATTCATAGATAGAAACTGACGCTAAAGGTGAGCAGCGAACAATGAACGACGTTCCCAAACGATCCCAAGCTGGATCCAATCGATCGATCCAATCGAGCCGCGCGATTGCCCAATCGGCCGGGAAACGATTTGTTGTCGTTTGTCATTAATCGTCCGGCGATGTATTTCTGGCCATATTTCAATATTTATTAATATCTATTGCACGATTCGACAGCCCGACGTCAGCTTCGACATGTTGTCCATTTATTCGATTGTCGATCCAAAAGTGCCCGTGTGTGTGTGCCCGTGTGTGTGCCTGTGTGTGTGCCTGTGTGTGGGTCAAGTGTTTGCCCAAGGGTAGAAACAGGGTTTGAATGATCCATGACTTACAGATTTTCCAATTTGACAAAATAAAAAACCGTTTCTACTATTTCCATTGAAGTTGAGTTCTTGGTTCTATGTATTTGCTTAGAGCAGCTCCCAGGATAATAAAGGAAAGAGAGAGAGAAGGGTAGAGCGAGAGAAGATCTTGATTTATTCCATAAGAAGAACTGAAAGAAACTGATCTTCGTTAACAGCTAGTTATAGAAAACATCAATTGACTTAGTGGACGAAGAGTTTTAGAAATAGTTAGACAATATCGTTGAGGATCGGTTGATCACACGAAGCCTCATGATATTGATTGCTTAATCTTGATCACTTAAGAGAATAATACAGAAGTAAACGAAAAGAGAGTGGATCTTTAGCAGATCTTTTTCTGTTCCTTATTCAATATTTCTGTGTCTGTTATGAGAATGGACTCTAAGAGTTGTGCATTATTTACATCGATCACTTCTTTTCTCTTCTATAACTACAAATATCTGTCTATAGAAAGATCAGTTGACCCATTGGGGAAAGAAATTCAGCTAAAGTTATACAAAGAAAGAGGATTCCTTGAACCTTGAACAGTAATTGAAAAATAAGCTGATCTTTAACAGATCTGTTCATATTTCTGCTTGTTAGTACGATCGCTTCATCTGCTGCAGAAGGACTGTGTCTCTTATGAGAATGGACTCTTAAAGCTGTGCATTATTTACAGATCACTGTATTCGTCTTCTCATATAACGCTTTGTTGTATCGATCACTTGATCTGCTGTGGCAGGCGTTACTTGGAGCCTGAGGTTGGAGTCAGCGATCGTTGAGGGTGGATGAGGAGTTTAGGCGGTTCCTTTTTATTGGTTCAGTTGCTCATTATCAGGGCTGGCAGCTGGCACTTAATGTGTTGGCACGTATCTTTTCTTTTATTTCTTTGTTGGTTGGTGCGATCGGGGGCAATGTCAGTCGCCGTCTGTCTCCAACTTCGGCGGCGATGCGATCATTCGCCGGATTCCCAGCACATTGTAAATTTAGTTGCCCATCGCTGGGTCGTGTGTGTGGAGGGGGAGGGGCGTGTGTTGTGGTCATAAACCCGCATTGTTGTTGCCATTTTATTTGTTTATTAATTGCTCAGCCGCGATCACAACGTTGATCTCACAGATCGGAGATCGCATGCTGCCCGTGCAGCTTGATGGATGCTCATAATATGTGGGCTGTGGGTGAAATAAAATCATTTGAAGCCGCTGCCATTCCACAGACAATGGCCATATGACAATGTAATGCCAAAAGTTTCACTTCAGAGTGAAACGGCAGCTGTCTTTTTTTTTTTTTTATACATTTTTTTATTTTGTTTGTTTTTTTTTTTGAGATCGAATCCATGTTCGAGTTGATCTTGTTGCAAGTGTTGCTTTGAGTCTGGCACAAATGCGATTCGGACTTTGCTTTAACTAAATTTGTATAATCTTTTAATTGTATGATCTGGCCTAGGCCTTAACGTTTAATTGACTGCGCTTGCCAGAGATCGTAGCGATCGCAAATCTCAGATCTGTCTTTAACTCTTCTGCTGATCTACTGACTAATCTTGTCTCTTCAGTAATCTACATACTGATCTTGCAAGAGATCTAGGTCTGACCTAGGCTCAAACTTCTTTAGTGATCTACTGACGAATCTTAGAAGGGATCTCAAAGCTGGCTCAGGTTCTGATTTTTTCAGCGATCTTGTCGGAGATCCTGGCCATCTCATAGCTGACTTCAGCGATCTGCTTACTGATTTTGCTAGAGATCTTCCACGTCTCAGATCTAGCTCTTAATTCTATGGTGTCTACTGACTGATCTTGCTGAAGCTCTTTATTGTCTCAAATATGTGATCCACTGAGTGATCTCTGATGACATCTGGCGATCTGCTAGCTGATCTGACCAACTCTCTTGCTGTTCCCATTAGGCTAATCTCTCGAAAATTGAGCCACTTGCTCAACGTTCGAGTACCTGCGGCTGCCGCAATTATCGAATTAACACTGTGCGGCTCATTTAAGCCGCTCGATGGGTGGGCGGGGCGGCGGTTAGGCGATTAAATGCCGTGCCACGATTGTCGCCTATTAACAAAATCAACTCAGATGCGGGCGGCTGGCGGCTCTAATCAAAAGCATATTTATGAGATATGAGAAACACACTCACACTCACACACACTCAGAGATTAGTTTATGTGTGTGTGAGTGTGTTCCTATTACAAACTCGTTACTGGGTCAGGGGTACGAAACGACGGCGGCGTTCACTTAAATTTCATTACATTTAATAACGTTTAGTCATCAACGGATTGTTTTATACCCTGTTCCCCATTGTATATGTATGAAAGCGGGTATGATGAATTTAAATATTAGAGGCAGCCAACTCCTATTCCAAATAAGTAATATATGTGTAAATTCTTGTGCTTGACAGATATCCGTTGGACTATATAATATTGTAACTAGTATTACGTATGCGATTTTGAGTGTTTTAAGGGCTAGAGATGCCAGAATTGGTAGATCAGATTTTTTGTCAAAGTTATCGTCAAATAAACTAAATCGTTAAATATCGATATTTACTCAATCGTTAAATGTTGATATTTACGCAATCGATAAATGTCGGAAGTCCACTTAATCGATAAATATTGAAATTCCCTCAATCGATAAATATTGAAATTCAGTAAACCTTTTTTGGCATAAATGCATGATAGCACTTTTGTGTTGATCACATTTGTGTTGAATTGTTGCTTAGCTAAATCGATATGTATCGACTTTCAGCTTAATAAGGGTAAAGCAATAACTTCTTAATTCGATAAATATCGATTTTTTGCAACTGCCTTTTGAGCATATCTTCTGGCTAAAGTTCTTAAATTTTATATGACCCTCTTTTATGTACAGACTGAATACCAATGCGACAAAAGGGAGAAAGGTTATTTATGAAAACATTTCCTTAATG